GTGATAAACATAAATGTTTTCCGATCTAAGTACCATGCATATGTCGTTTAGCCGAGTGTAGAAGTCTCAGGCTTAACACGCCGCAGTTTTAGGTTCAAAACCTTATTTTTTAATAATTTTTAAAAGCTGGAAGATCATGAAGAATTACTTCATCATATATAAAATCCAGTTTAGATACGAATCCACTTGTTTAGATCGTAAACAGGGTGTTTCTTTTATCTCTGCCACCCGAAATAACTCGGTAATTATCGATGTAACAACAAAATATTTCAAACAAATGTTGTACGGTGTGGAGGGGGCCTCCAAATGCGACCAATTTTTTTTTTATTTCGGTGGAGGCGTTGACGCACAGTGAAGGTCACCTTCACTTTTTAAATAGAATCGTACATTTTTTTTTCAACCATCTTGTGGAGCACCTCAAGCCGCATAAAAAAGATTAAGGGGTCAAAGTCGTTCAAGGTCATTCAAGGTCAGTATCGATGATACAAATCTAAATATCTCGGATCACTACTAAATATTTGGTAATCATCTTCAATGTCCCCCATAAAGAAAAATCGAGTGTATTTAAGTCCGGTGATCTAGCAGGCCAGCGTATTCATGATCTTCGGCTAATCTGCTTATTACTAAATTTTATTTTTTATTTTAAATATTACTAAATGCTGATACCAGAGGTTTTGCCGATCCCACAAGGTTAGATCTTCAAGCAGCACATTTAATATTTCTTCCAGAAAAGCAAAAATAAAATATAAATTTGAAAATACCAAATGTCTAAAACTACCAATCCGATCCGAGATATTTAGATTTGTATCATCGATACTGACCGTGAATGATCTTGAACGACTTTGACCCCTTAATCTTTTTTATGCGGCTTTAGGTGCCCCACAAGATGGTTGAAAAAAAATGTACTATTCTATTTAAAAAAGTGAAGGTGACCTTCACTGTCTGTCAACGCCTCCACCGAAATAAAAAAAAATTGGTCGCATTTGATGGCCCCCTTCACACCGTACAACTTTTGTTTGAAACATTTTGTTATTACATCGATAATTACCGAGTTATTTCGGATGGCAGAGATAAAAAAAAACCTGTATATGATATATCAAAATATCGGGCGTCCATTTAGAGAGGAGTAAAATTATATAATTCGATTTTATTGTAGCAAGTATCAACGTTCATATTCTGTATGTCTTGATTATTTTAGAGATGATGATCTCCAAATAAGTAAAGGTAAATATAAATTAATATTTTTTAGTTTTCAAATTTCAGAAATAAAGGATCACTGACGATCAATGATTTAACATGGGTAGCGTTTTTCTTTTTTAATCCGTTCTTTTAAATTGTAAGGAAAGGAATTTCGAGCAGGCATGGAAAAAGTATTGCATGAAATAAAGCGACTGAGTTCCGTTGTAGAGAATCAAAACTTTATTATAACTTAGCAACGAATTTTTTTCCATTTTTTCTTTTTTTGATAGGCATTTTACCTTATATAATACATTATTGAAAACGATAATACTTCAGAAACATCTTGGTTGCAGAGGAAAGTGAAAGTATAATTATCGAGAACGTGATCCATCGTTACATGGAGAACATCAATTCAAGAGCAATACTTTGAAAAGGTTGCTTCCACGTATCGAATTAGATGAAAGAAATGCAAATTAGCATGAATGTGGCGACATCACATTTGTCACGAAACTGAAAAGGACCTTCCGTTGCATTCTACTTCGTAATTAATTAAGATACTGCAAAATTTATTTCAGATATCTGCAAGACTTTACTGAGCACGTGTAATCACCATTGCAAATCATCAGGAAGTGCCATTATTATGGTTGATAATGGCGGTTATGTTTGGTTACGTTTGGCAACGCATTCAACAATTACAGCGACAAGTAGCGGCAGCTCCAGAAAGTAAAAGCAACCTCCGTATCTGTGACACCCTCACCACACCTAATCAGCTGATTGTCAGGACCTGTATGTAAGACCGTGGTTCCGACGGCCTGACTTTTGTAGCAGCTTAATAATACGAGTATTGTAAATCCTCCCGACGATTTTATTGGCTATTTGAGGGATTATTCTGAACTATTATTAGGGAGTTGGGGACGCGAGTCAAGCCCTACAGCGGGATTTGTTTGTACTTTATTATTTTCTGAGTTACCATCGTGCTCGGGTGCGAATTTTGAGTCTTTAGTAGTTTCGATAACACTGGTAAGAATCTTGTAACGGGTCACGAAATCTTTTCCCCACAGCTAACTCTCTTATCGTTCGCGTTTCGCGTTTTCTTTCAAGGCCTTGGCCTATGGATGATTTTCGTATCGCTAACTTGGAAAAGATTCCGTGTATCGCCTATATTTTTTTTGTGAACTAATATTTCTTGATTTTGTGAAATTTTCTTAGCGCAAAAGTCTCGTGACCCTGGATACCTAACAGAAAGAATCCGCGAGTTCTCACTTCTCGAGGACGCGTGTATTATATTTTTTTTTGTTTCGCTTGTCGAGATCTCACATATCGTAACGTGTTGTCCCGCTTCACGGGAGCTCACGTATCGACAATATTATTTTCCAAACATTTAACTTAATTTGGATCTTGTCTCATTTATCTAATTTGTCAACGAAATTCTTTTCGAATATCTCGAAATTTGGATTTGTTAATTGTTAGATTTCTAAATTGCCCTGAATAAAAGGATACTTATTATTGTTTTCTATTTTGAGATTCCTAGGCGCTCCCTGCCCCTCTACCATTCCGTATCGTCTGTACCAGTTAATTGCAGATCCTCCGTCCCTTCTGGAATTATTTTGCAAATTTCGTTTCCTAACGCAAAGGTGCATCCGGCGCCTAATCGGTCGATGAAGAATCAGCTGTCTTGCTACGAACAGCTCGAGTATTTGTTTAGAGTAATTTCCGTCCTACGTTATCGCGATTTTTCGTAACAGTACAATATGAGTAGCGATTATTTCGTAACTCATTTATCAGTGGGAACTAATACTTCCCAGTTCGCTAACAAATCGCATAAATAACACCTTAAAAAAGTAAATTGGTCGACTTTCAGGAAATCATGCCCCACCTTATCTACTGACACCAATGGTGAGGAAAACAGGCATAATATCGAATTATGAACCTTACGTATCAGAAATAGATAAAGCGATCCGCTTAGCCTCTCCCCATAAATATCTAACTCCTCTAAATAGAAATCCAGGACGGCTTTGTAATGGATCGACAATTGCTTGCAGACTAAGAGAGAGGTAGAGAGCACAGAATCCACTAACCGCTGTCGCAACGTATCGAATAAGGATAACTGACTCTTGTTGTTATAAACAAGACAAATCTGATCACAGTTTCAAACACAACAAACAGAAAAGCTGAAAAAATTACTATGGAAGTTTCAGTTTTCGCCCCCACACTCTCTCCAGAGTATGGAACTGAATAAAAGGATGCAAATCTAGTTTTTTTTCTTCGAACCATTTTATATCACCCGACTAGATACTAGTATTATCAATCTCGTAGAAACTCGAAAGGACTTAATTTGTCTCCCCCCCAGATTTTGATTCCATCATTCCCTGAAAGATTCCTATATATTACATACGACTAGAATTACATTAAACATCTCTTTAAAAATTTTTATCAAAATGTACATTAGATACTGGCATTTCTCACTATACTATTGATATTTAGTAATTAACAATAAAATGTTCAATCTCTTATAGATGTTTATATGTAGTCGCAACGTGTAGATTGAGATTTTCGAAATATATATAATTAATTATACATAATCTATTTTTAAATAATATATCATTTATCCACTTAGACGATGGAGTGCTGATCCAAAAATTATGATCATGTTCTACAAGTCCTAACAAAGGAGCGTGATAAGACACGGCTTCCTTTATTTTAGTATACCCAATTATATTACGGTAGACAAACTACAAACAATTCAAATAAAGTTATCCACCAAGTTCTGGATCATAGGAAGTCCATTCCGATCAATGTCCTACACGCTTAATCTAAGCTGCCTAAATTGGTTTTACGTGTAATTTTCTAGTCATTATTAAAACATTTTTGATATAAAAACTATCCGCTATTAGATAAACTTCATAAATGCACCTTTCTCTGCTTTGCAGTAATCCTTGTGATGCTATAGACAACTTTATTATATTTACTGCCCCTTTTAAGGTCGAAAGACACGAAACAAAAATAGACATATAGAATCTCATATAGAATCGTTTTCCTGTATTTTCAACCATGGCTTTCTAGAAAAATTGGTACTTTCGTAACTTAACTTCCAACTAACGCTATACTTTTTTGCAATGATGAATTCGAGCATGAGAACGTGGCTAGGATTGGTTTTGCTATTTCCTCCCCCTACTTGCCTGATATTGAGCTTTTTATTAATTCTGATTTCGCATTAATTTTTACCACTGAGGCTTTAGATTTGAAATATGACCTCTCTATTATAGTTATCAATAATATCTCTCAAGCCTATTTTCTTTTTAACTCCTGATAATCACAAGAATGTCACCCTATTTAAAATCAAAAACCTTTTTTTTTTACCTAGTTTACACTAAAAACCTTTCAATAAATATTTACTGAATTCGAGGCTATCATAATATTTTGAGTAACGAAACTGCTGATAAATACGTTAAAAAGGCGACATCTCGTGGAACCTCTCTTGTTATTGACGTTGCCGTCTCCGACTTCTTTGCGCCAATCACGCAGTAGGCTGACAATGCCCTGCAACGATTTTTCAGTGCTAGTAAGCAAGATAAAAATTGAGCCTTCAATTTATACGTTTTAATAGTTTTTTAATTGCAATACAGTGGCTTTGCACGCCTCTAAATTATAAATTTCTGCTTGTACGGGTACGCCAGTCTACCGCAAGAGAACTCCACCGGCACAAGTCGTGCACTGTGCTGACATCCCAAAAAAACTACTTTACCAGCAGTAGAAACCTGATCGACCATCGCCGTGTGGCACGGACTAATGCGCCACTAGTCACGCCAGAGCCAAACCAAACCAAAGAGGAAGAAGAAGACGACGTCGGAGCTCCCAGTGAAATTCAGTAGTACTCTAACACCTACGCACATTGTACGCACGGCCGGTCCACGTGTGGCTTGGCAAAAACCATCCTCTGCCTCTCATCGAATCATCCTGTTAGTGAATTACTAAACCCTAAGAGAATCCAAAGTAATACGACGTATCATAATTATATTGACAGAATTTTCGCCATGATGAAAAGCACCATTCAGCAAAGTGATATCACTGTGTAGAAATATCGATGAACTTGTCGAAAAGCAACAAATTCGGTCCCATACTATACACGTTGGCGGAGCCAATTGATCTTTCCAGAACCCAATTTCGTTGTATGTAATGAGTTCGTTACTAAGTTTCACCTGAGATTCGTTCTGCATTGGATTTTACGCGATTATGGTCAAGTTTAAAATGAAGCACTACTAGATTATAACACGGGTAACAAGTTTTCTCCGATTCAAGTTATACTTCATCTCACCCGTGGAACTCATCTGTATTCTTATTAATGTAAAACGCAATTTATAAAACAACAGTGTATCCTTCGATCTGACTGTGACAAGCTTCAACATTACTTTTTGGAACTCTTGATCGCATATCGTAAGTACTTCGTGGATTTATTATTATTTTTTAATTTTATCTTGGACAATGTACACTGAACGTATTAGCATTATTGATAATATATGATTTTACATGAACAAATTTTTACTATCAAAATTCTGTTGTATGTTCAAATTATTTCTTTTACTACACATTATATCCAATTAATTCTGTAAGAATTTGTTAATATGACCAATATTCACGGCTATTAATATGACGTTAATTAACAACATATAAGATGCAATTTTATTGAACCGCTATTTAGAAGGTTTAAGTAATTATAAACTGAGTTTACAAATATTTCGCTTAATGATTTTAATGAAAGATAAGTGAACTGTAGGTATTATTCTAAGAATGTGGGAAGACAAGACGGGAGATGAACGATGGGTGACTAGCGGGAGTCGAGGAGGAAATAAAGTGTCCATGAGATAGAATTCGGATAGAAATTGACGACGTGAAAGCGGATATTAAAAAAAAATTTCCGATCATTAACTTTAGTGAAATCGTAATAGAAATCTGCGATGTTAGTCAAACGTAAATTCCGCGTAAAGTCTAATTATGTAAATATGATATTTGATTTGTCGAAGAGTTACGTGAAAACATTAATTCAAGTTTACCATTTTGATTATTCATATAATCAGTGAGTGGAGGCTGATATTATTGCACTTTACCACTTTTGACAAGAGCATGTATCAATTCAAATTCCAAAATATTAAAAAAAAAAACTATTATACAATTATATAATTATATCTATACTATAATCTTACATCCACTTGACCTTAATTTTGAAAGTTTAGCGTATAGAAAATGGTTCGTGTATAATACATTAATATCTTAACTCTGGTCAATGAATAACGATTGCATAATTATTCTATTATTATCAATCGATCTTATCTGATTAATGCGGTTCAAAGAGATAATTTGTAGCAATGCTAGTTAATCAATTGTACTACATGTTAATTAAAGAAAATTGGTGCTCACAATACTAACTGCTATTGCTTGTAACTTATTATTTTAAATCGATCATCATATTTCAAAGCATTTCACATATCTTTAAAAGTAGGGATTGGATTGGAACACTAATTCACGCTAAGAAGAGATTAGGTAGCGAAGATCCCTTATGGAGTAATTGTGTCCATTTATTTATTTGGATTAGACGACTCGTATAACTGCGATCTAAATTCACAGAAATCCATTTGATCTTATTATATCTCTACGCCAATTATGGATTTTTAAAGATTATACGAAATTAGCGCCTTTATTTGCAAGGTACTTATATTCAAACAATAATGTTTTACATTAATTGACTTGCAAATGAATATACATATCATACACATGACCTTTCGTAACGTCCATTGAGTTTGATTTAATCTGACTGCGAATGGTCAAAACCTACATCACTAAATATAATTAATACCAATCAACATTTAAACATATTGGAGTTAGATTCTATATAGCTTATTTTCTGAGTCTATATTTTTTTGGAGCTCAACTGTTAACAATTGTATATACAGAGTGTTCGAAAAATGGTGGTACAACCGAAAAGCGTGCGATAACTTTACAGGACATATTTTTTTAAAATAGTTTTTTTTTTTTAATAGGGCATCATCTCTAACATAATGGCAGAAAAAGCTTATTACGCGCGCAACCTATTTAGTTACTTTTCAACGCACGGATCATGTCAATTCTTCTGTAGTCGGAAGCGCCCACCTTACCTCGGAGTTTGTCGTTGTTTTTTTGTTATCTGTTTACGTGTAATTGAAATACGGAAGAAAAGAAATGCACAATTGAAGACAATGAAAATTCATATTGTGTTTTTTACCGTAACAATAAATTATGCTTCAATTGTTTTACGTGTATTTATAAACACATTTTTATAAGTTTCAAAATTTCGTTTATTTAGGTATCTTTTTGGCATTCTGTTTTCTTTTATATCCAGTACAGTTATACTACAAATCCAAGTGTGTAGCCAAGTATGTTATTTGCTATCTTTTATACGGTAGACACTTTTTATGCACTCATACGGATGTACTTGTAATTCTTACATTATGCTCACGTATTAAAATCTAGTGAAATGTCGGCTAGTTCAATATTAATATGGCAATGAAGGATGTTCACCATGTAGTGCAAGCAGTTAAAAATAACGAATGTTAGTTTTAACATTGCAACCCTGCATTGGGGCCCTCTTCAGCTATTGTATTTAGAAAATTTTAGCATAATTGCGAAGAACGGAGTTTTCTTATATGAAGAATGAAATGACATCAATGAATAAAGTTTCAGAACCCATAGATTAAAATGTAATAAAACGTCATAACTCATGGAGTTTGTCCACATGTACTCCATTCTTCAAGATCTCTGAAGATTCCAGTTCTATAATTAAACGAATTTACAAGCTTTATCTACTAGAAACGTTCAGAGTGGCAAAAATTTAAAAAAAATTAAGAAATTTTTTTTTTAACATTCTTTGTCACCGCATTTCCACGTATTCTCATTTTAAAACAACATACTTGTGAATATGTAAGAAGTAACCAACAAAGATAGGAAATAATTTACTTCGCTGAACAGTTGGATTTGCAGTGTAGACACCAATCCACTTTCTTTTTTTTAAAAAGAGCATGCTTAGTTGCGTTTTTCCCAACTCTAGCCGTACTAGACAATTCGTAGCTGTACGTGGCAAAAAGAATATTTGATTTACTAGTGTGCATTGTGCTCTTTCTAGTTTGTCGAGGAATTTTAGCGTCTCTGTCTCCGTTCCATACTGTACGGTTGCTCCCAGTATCGATTTTATAGCGCCTCTTTCGTTTCCCATGAATTGCTTTTACTCGTGGTAAGAATCTTTCGAATCACTCCGCTAGTCGTATTCTCTTTCGCGATGAAGTGATTTTTGGTAAAAAAATTTCCGGGGCATGAGAATGGAACTTCTAGATACGTGTATGAGTTTGCATATTTCAACGTATTGTTACCCTAATACAGGAACTCAAATTTTTAGATTCCTGATTTATTAAATTAAGTTATTTGTATCTTATTTTCGTAGACTGTTGCTTCGTTTATATTGCAATACCATCGGGATATCGCAAGTTTCCTTTTTGCATCTCGTCACGCATTGGCTAATAGACCAGTGTCGTCGGCGAACAGAACCATAGTAATTTCAGAATTAAGGTTTTTTTTTATTTTTTTTTTTTTTTAGAATTAAGGGTTAACTGTCGTCCTCTAGTGCTCAATTATGCTGGAGAAAAAAAAAGGAATAAAATTAGCAGACCCCTTGTAGGATCCCCTCAGTAATATATACTTTCTCCAAATAAACATTATTCCTCTTGGTTATTAGTTGTGTGTACCATTATAGATTTCGAACTGTAGCATTGCTTGTCAGCTCACCTCTATGTTGTCTAGTTTTTCCCAAAGAAGTTCTTGTTTCATCGAATCAAGTGCTGTATGAAAGTCAATGAAGATTTTGAAAACTTATGTGCTATAGTTTTACATACTAGAGCTGATAATGTAAACTAGTGATTTCTTTAGCCTATTCTTTTCTTTGAAACCCGCCGGTTTTTACGGAACTTTGTTATTGTTTTCGGTTAATGCAAGTGGGGCACGTGTAATGATAGTAGAAAATAGTTTATTTATTACGTTACTTTATAATTATGTGGATCTTGTTTTTCTTCCTTTCTGTATAACAATTATTTTGTCGGCGCTCACTTCCTTGGGATTTTTCCATTACTTATAATGTTATTCAATAGGTTTAATATACATATTACGCTTGAATCCATTAAGGGAGGAATGAAACAGGCTTTTTTCTATGCGTGAGCTGCCATATAGACGAGGTTGGAAGCAAAGAAACTTTGCACTTAAAAATGTCCGTACAGAAAGCACTGTCAATAAATTTATTATCCAAAATGCAAGACTTCCGATAAAATGCCTTTATCTGTGGAATCGGATTGTTAAAATATTTCTTTGAAAATATATAAGGTAGAAATGAATATCGACAGCGATAGCCTACGGAGCTGTCATGACGACAAGTCATTAGCCGTTTCCTACCTGAGTAGAAATTTGGTTCACTGTAGATTCGAGTCGCATGAGGCTTTCCCTAACTGCTAATATAGCCGGGATCATGCCGCTCTATTCAGTCCTGCTCTGACATGTAGCGGCACTTTCGATCCGATCATGATCAGGTGTCCGGTCTCCCGCCCCTGATGTCGATTTATTAACCAAAATTTGTTTAAAACATATATTCACCAAATTAAATGCATGGCTAAATGCTCGATATTGATACCCTGGAGTTTGTTAACTACGGTCATATAAGTCTGACTATTGAGAATTTGAAGAAATATGTTGGAAATTGGAATATAGGACGTAGAAGAACTTTTATATAGTTATGGGTCGTTGTTTCATAATTTTATAATCTACGATGGTTTTTTAACATCGTTTACAAATAAATGGCACCTGTAAAAAGTAATTAAAAAGAAAAAATATACCAAGTTCTTAGGCGCTATGTACAGAGAAGTTATATCGCTAAACTGTTTCCAAATTTTACCCTTGCCAGCTCCAATGCTGTGGGGTCGTAAATCAGGAGACGAAAAACGATAACTGCAAAGTTCACTGGGTGGTTCATCACAAACTACTGGAATTATTTTATCAGACTCAAAGCTATCGTAAATGAACCCAACAGACGGATCCGATTTATTTTAGGAAAACAAAAATGACATAATAATCAGTACTGTGGAATTAAATTAACAAAGTAAAAAACAGATCGAGATGATACAGAACATATTTTGTCAATACCCTAAACGATAATATTTGTTTCTTTTATACAAAGTACTTAGTCGTCCGGCAACCAAACGAATAATTATGTATTACTTTATTATTCTGATGGAGTTTGATCGATTTCCAAATGATGGAACGGTCTACATTTTAGGTTTGTACCTGATATAAATATTATCAAAAAAAACTGTTAAATTTTAGGATTTACCAACACCCATATAATTAATGATTTCGGCGTGTTTAGT